TGAACGAAATTTATCTCCGTTATCGGCCTCGTATCTTTGCTCGAAGCGAGGCGCGATTCAGCTCGCGTATGTGGAAGCGGCTTTTATATCGAGGCTCGAAGAAGCGTAGAGAAGAAGCCGAGGCACGGAGAGCCACCTGGACGAACAACCTGACCGGTACAACCTGTTATGGGCCATGGAACAGATTTTGACCCGAAGATGACCCGTTCGACGTAGACTCGGACGCGGAAGAGAATCTGTCTTCTCTAATGCCACCGCCACCGCGAAATGGAAAAATGGAAGAGAGAGAGAGAGAGAGAGAGAGAGGCCACGCGTCCTTCGCGCCTCCACTCAAGTGGCGCGTTTCCGTCTTCGACGATATTCGCTGAATTACAAGGAGCGTTGATAGTATAAAAATAACACTTGGATTGGAATATATATTTAACCTTGAAATTTGGAGAAGTGATTATAGATACTGGTATCATAAATTTTGAATTATTTTGTATTATATTGTTTCCTCAAATAAAATCTTAAATATGTACATAATTTTGGAAAAAGATAAATGATTGATAATTCCATAATTTTAAAGACTAAGAATAAAAAAACATTTGAATTATATCACTTTCCAAATATATATAATTCTCGCAGTGAAAAATGACTGATTCATTTCCAAATATACATATATAATCTTCATATATAATGAAAAGATGAAAGGAAAGTAAATAACCCCAATTATGGCAATTATTGAAAATATTTTGGAGATTCTCTAATTTTCTAAAGGAAAAAAAAAAAATAATAATAATAATAAAACGAAAAATATCTTTCTCCAAAGGTTGTAATTTCCAAGGTAAACCGTAATAAACGAGATGCAAAAATGCAAACACGGCTACGACGGTTCGTCGAGACCATTGGAAGGGTCGAGCGAAAGGGGGAGGGAGGAGGAAAAGAATAAATAACGTAATAATAATGGTGGATACCTGTTCGTGCTTCTTGAGATAGCTAAGCCGGGGGAACGTGCGGTCGCAGAATTGGCAAGGGTAAGGGGCTGTCGCGTTGCTCCCGTCGGCGTTCACTCCGACGTCGGCGTCGACCTCTGGCTCCGACGGGAAACTGGCCGACGTCGGGGTCGCGCAAGACGAGGGCGTCTCGCCGCCTCGCCGCGAGTTTGGTCCGCCATCCTCGCTCTGCCACGACGAACTTCCGGTCCCCAACGCCTCTGCAATTTAAACAGGGAAAGCTTGAATTTCTCGTTCAATCAAATGGGAGAGAAAGAGATACGCGAATATTTCTTTTTCTTCGCGATTTATTTAATTAGGGATCGGACGGGGGAAATCGTGGACGGGTAAGGGATACAAATGCTTGCCTCCCTCTGAGGTGGATAAATGGAACGGATACCATTTGTATCAATGTAAAAGGGGAAAGGAGGATACGGAGAAGTGTGATATAATATTGGAGGGATTACCCCGTTGAAAGACTTTTCCGCGATTTTTCGTTACGAATTATTGTTACAATGATAATTCTGTGTCTAGGAAGCGAAAAACAAGTTAAGGAAACCTAAAGAAGGGAACAAGAAAAGAAATTAAGAAATCAAGAAACTAAAGAAAGAAGAAACCTAGGAATTTAGGGATCCAAGAATCAGAAAAGAAAGGAGTCAAGAAGCCAAGAAACCAGAGAAAGAAGAAATCTAGGAATTCAGGAATCTGAGAACCAGAAAAGAAAGGAGTCAAGAAGCTAAGAAACCAGAGAAAGAAGAAACTTATGAATTTAGGGATCCAAGAATCAGAAAAGAAAGGAGTCAAGAAATCAAGAAACCAGAGAAAGAAGAAACCTAGGAATTCAGGAATCTGAGAACCAGAAAAGAAAGGAGTCAAGAAGCCAAGAAACCAGAGAAAGAAGAAACCTAGAAGAATTTGTGAAAAAAAATGAAATAAAGAAATCAAGAAGAAACTAAGAAACAAATGAAACAAAAAAAACCTAAGATTATAGCAACAAGCAAAAAAAACAAAAGAAATCGAAAAACTAAAAAAAAAAAAAACAAAAATCAAAGAAAGCAAAGAAACGAAGAGGCGAAAAAAGAAAAAAGAAACAAGGATCTTTGTTTTGAGGAACAGAGTGTGTCGATCGGCGAGCAACGTCGATGTTTCGTACGCGGAACGAGGAGAGTGGCGAACATTCGTACGAGCGATCTTTTCGGGGAACAGGTTTATAAATGTCGTAAGACGAACCAGTTCCATAAATGAACCTTACGAACTCGAACGAACACGTAGAAATATTACGAGAGTCTGGCTGACCTCACCTTCCCCGTTACATGTCCCTTTATATCGTTTTCGTAACGAGTATGCGGTGAAACTGGTACCATTAACCCGTGAACATTGTCAAGAGGCTTCGTCGTCGTTCATCCTCCACCAGAGAGGACTGGTCGTCCTCACGGATAGAAGAAAAGCGCATCCTTCGCTCTCCAACTTCTTCCATTTTTCCATCCCCGATCTGTTGTCCAATATTTGCGCGGTGAACACATAGTTGCTCCGCGAGAATGAATTGTCGAGTTTTTCTTATTAGTTTTGATCGAATCGAACGATAAGTTTTTGCAAACTCAATAAAATTGTAAGTATTATATGTAAGATTTATTCGTCGATAAGTTAGGTTAATTTTCATTGATCGATGGACGATCATTCGCTCTGGAACTTCCTTTTCCATCTCCGATCTGTTGTCCAATATTTGCGCGATGAACACAATTGCTCCGCGAAAACAGATCGTCGAGTTTTTTTATAGTTATTATAGTTTTTATCGAATCAAACAAAGTTTTTGCAAACTTAATAAAATAGTAATATATGTAAAATAGGTTTCGTTTATTCGTCGATAAGTTAGGTTAATTTTCATTGATAGGTCATTCGTTCTGGAGCTTACTTTTCCATCCCTGATCTGTTGTCCAATATTTGCGCGATGAACACAATTGCTCCGCGAGAATAGATCATCGAATTTTATAGTTATTATAGTTTTTATCGAATCGAACGATAAGTTTTTGCAAACTTAATAAAATAGTAATAGTATATGTAAAATAGGTTTCGTTTATTCGTCGATAAGTTAGGTTAATTTTCATTGATAGGTCAT